TCGGTTCCGCCCGGCCGGCGGGGTCCCCGCGACGACCGCGCTCGGTTCCCCAAAGCCTGCAGACGGGCGGGGGGAGGCGTCGCTCGGGGCCGGCCCTGGACACTTGGGGCGCCTCGCGTTTGGGGGGACAGGGGCTGGTTGCGGAGGGCCCGCAGGTTCGGGGCCAGGACAGGCGGGGGGTCGACGGAGCAGCCTTTGTCCTCCGGCCTGGGGGCGAGGGAGCCGGGCGGCCACGGGGGACCCCACCCCGGGGACCCCACTGCGGGCATCCGGGCCCAGAGGAGGCGCTGAGCCCCACCTGCACCCCACCCCGCCCCGTGGAGAAGGTGGACTGTCAAGTGGGGGGTCATCGGCTCCCCACCGCCCCCCAAATAGCTGTGATGACAAAGGTCCAGAAGGCGGTCACTCTGCGTGCTTTAAGCCTGGGAGAGAGGTGTCCACTGTCCTGGGCAGCACGTCCCCCCCTTTGTGGAGGAAGCCCAGACTGTGCTCCTCACCCCCTGTGACCGGTCTGCGGGCACCTGGGAGCCCCGAGGGGTCAGCCAGGCCGGCTGGGGCTCACGGTCCCTTTGTCCGAAATCCCGCGTGGACCCCTGGGGACACAGGGCCCTCCTGGCTCCAGGGAGGGACTGTCTGTCCTTCCTCCAGGCCGAGGCTCCCCGTGGGGAAGGAGTGGGGGGTGCGGCTGTCGGGAAGGTGCTGCCTTTAAAAGGGGTCTGGTTGGGAGACACTGAGGCCCCTCAGGGCAGAGGCCCCTCAGGACAGAGGTCCAGGGCTGCTCTGTCCATGGACGCGGCTGTCGTGAGCGTGTCCACTGGGTCTGGGGGCTCAGCACAGGCAGGGCTCATCTCCTGTCCTGGAGGCAGGTCCAGAAAGGTGAGCACCGCTTTCTAGACGGTCAGTGCCTTTGACTGCTGAGGCCCCAGGCACACGGAGAGACGTTGGTGGGCGCTTGTGTCTGCTGGACTCCTCTGTTTGGGTCATCTCGGTACTGCATCAACGCCAGTGGACAGAGCTGGAGGACCTGAACAGAACAGGACGTGGGGACAAGGGACAGGCCTGGACTCTCTGCATGGTCACGGTTACCAAGGGGTGGATCTCTGGCTGAGGTCGTAGGTCTCTGAGCTGTGCTGTACATGCCGAAGCACTGGAGGTGGGGGTTCAGGGAGAAAGCTGTGGTTGGCGATGTGAGGGGAGGAGAGGGCTCCGTCCAGAGCTCTTCCATTGCTCTGTGTCGTCCTGGCACAGGTCAGGAGTGTCCTAGGGCCTGGGGCAGGACTGTTCTCTCAGATGGACTGTCCTGGACACTGCAGGCTGTTGGGCAGCATCCCTAGCCTGAACCCTCTTGGTGCCAGTAGCACCCCCTCTCCTTTGAGAACAGTGCCTGATGTCCAGAAAGCACCCAGTGTCCCCTGAGGGCTGAGCTGCCTCTTCCTGCTTTGGCTCCTTTTGGCCAGCCCCGGGGGTCTGCCCCTCTGCCTGTGGCTGCAGCGCCGTGCGGGCGTCAGGTGCAGCAAAGCCCGCCACTGCCCACCATGGGAGCACCTTCCCCAGCCACTTCCTGCACGTGGATGGGGTTTTCTAAAAACTGGAAGTAAATAGATAATGAAACATTTACCGATTTGACAGGCTTCACACGTTCAAGTCACTGACACTGAAGATCTTGTCGTGTTGAACAGCGGTCACCAGTGGCCGGCCCTGGAGCACAGGGTCCTAGAGACAGGGTTGGGTTTGGTCTGCAGGCGTCCTCACGTGGTGGCCCCGTGCAGGTTCAGGAGCCTGGGCCTAGAGGGTCAGGGGACTTAGCCAGATCCTCTCCTTGTGCCGCGCATGTGGGGCTCTTGAACTGAAGAGCTTTGCTCCCTTGTGACTCAGTGCGAGCCGCCAGCCTAGCCCAGCTGCGTCCCCTCCACTGACCAGGTCAGAGAGGCCATTGTGCTTGGTGGCTTGGACGACACTCTTAGCCTAGTGCCCGCGGCCTCTTTGGGGAACTGGTGGGCTGCAGTTGGCACCAAATGAGTGTACACTCCTTTAGAGCTGAGGTTCCCTGAGTTCTGTGGGCCCCATGCTGATTGAGAGGGGTGAAGAGTAGGGAGCTGAAAGGACGGGAACAAGTGTCAGGTGTGGGCGCACAGCTCACAGACTGCATTGGGGTGAGTCCTGGCGGGTCCCCACCTCCATCTTGTACTGCAGTGGGGGAAGCCCGAGGCCGGAGGAACTTCAGCCGAGCTCACACATTAGAACTCCGGCTCTGTGTCTCGTGGTTTTGGAAGGAAGAAAGTAAACCACAGCTTCCCACCCCTGTGATGAGACCTCATGGGCCAAGAAAGAAATGAACGTGGAAGTTGGTGCTGAGGTCTCCGTGGCCTGTGGCTGGTGTGGGGCCACAGGATGGAAGACCCAGAACAGCCCCCGGCGGCTCCTCAGCCCAGGCCGTACCGGCTGTGGGGAGGCCCTGAAACTGTGGCCTGGCGCTCTGGGAGGCGTGCCAGCAACTGCCTGGGAGATAGGCCTCTGGTGCCAGCTGGGTTGGCGCAGACATCCAGGAAGTCCTCTGAGGGTTTACTTCCTGTGGTAGCCACTCTGTGGTGGTCACTCATCGACAGAACAGGGACAGTTGTCACCCAAGGTTGGTGGTCTTGCAGTGTGGCTTATCTTACTCTAATCTCCAATGAAGAGCAACATGTACCTGCATGAGCAGCCCAGGGCTGATTCCTGCGTGGCCCCGGTCAGACGGTCCTCCATCATCCAGAGTGTTTGCATCTTCTAACACCAGCTGTCTATTCCACAGTCTTCTCCACTTACCTGCTGGGGGGGCTTTGAGGATTTGATGAATAGCCACACAGGACTCACAGACGATGCCGATGATTGTAAGGTTAATTCGAGAAGCAACAGGTTAAATTCACATTCAAGCATACGGTTCTTGAATTGGGTCAGTCTCTTTTCAGCTAGGTCTCTCAGGTCTTTGTCCTTCAGCTTGGACCCCCCTCTTCCCAGGTCCATGTTAACATAGCTTCTTGTGGACCTTCAATTTGGAACTGACCCTTCAGCAGGTTTTCAGAGGCTGTAAATCCCGTAGGAGGAGATTGCTCATCCTTCCATGGAGCAGCTGGTAGATTCCAACCATGGGCCTTTGGGACTGCAGCACAGCTTCTTACCACTAAGGCTTCCAGAACTTTAGTTCTGCCATGGTTGTAAGTGCCCAGCAGCACCTCACTCCACCAGTAAGCCTTGCCTATCCTTGCAGTTGGCAAACTTTGCCTCCAGCCTGCCTGCAACCTTGGGTCTTTTTCTCTGTGGGCTAGGATGCCCAGTGCTGTTGCCTTCTGATTCTGCTACCAATATCTCTGTCTCCACTGTTACAGCTCCCTGTGTCTCCTGTGTATGAAAGACGCACTCCACCCAACTTTCCTCTGGGATGGCTCGTTTTAAGCCTGTTATTCTTAGGTGCCCTTTAGTTGACTATGGCTTGTAAGTGACAGTATGAACAACAAACCAAAATCTTGCTCTATCTTGGGCCGTCTTCACAATCTGCCATGTTCAGTCACTGTGTCAATCCACTGTTTGCTCAAGGGTCTGTTGACCCTCTCCTTTTCCAGTATGTCTTTTTCCAAGGACCAGCCCCTCCTGATCAAGTCTCACCATCCTTGCTTCCAAGGAGCATCCTGATTGCACTTCCTTCAAGGCAGACTTGTTTCTTTGAGCAGTTCACAAGATTTCAATACTTTTCAACAGAGCTGCAACTCAAAGGCATCAATTCTTCTGTCTTATTTATTGTCCACCTTTCATGTGTGTACAGAGCAATTGAAAATACCTTGATTTGGGCCAAGTACACTTTGACTGCGTGCATCATAACAAACTGTGGCTGCCTCTGAAAAGAATAGGAATCCCGGAACACTTGATTGTGCTAATGCAAAACCTATACTTGGATGGAGGCTCAATGTCAAGAAGACAAAGATTCTCACCACTGGACCAACTGACAGCATCAGTATGGATGGTGAAGAGATTGAGATTGTTCACAGTTTTAGTTTGTTTGGCTCCACAGCCAACACTCTTGACACCAGTAGCCCGGAAATTAAAAGGCGCATTGCCATGGGAAAGTCTGCTGTTAGGATCTCTCCAAAGTACTGAAGAGCAATGGTGTCTCTCTGGAGACTAAGGTGCGTTTGATACAGGCCATAGTCTTTGCAATCACTTGTTATGCATCGGAGAGTTAGAGAGTGACCAAGGAGGATAGAAGGAGAATTGATGCCTTTGAGCTGTGGTGCTGGAGAAGAGTATTGAGACTACCATGGACTGCTAGAAAAACAAACAGATTCATCCTGGAGAGGGTTAAACCAGGCTGCTCCTTGGAGGCAAGGATTCTAGGCTTTGTCTGACATACTCTGGACATGTTGTAAGGAGGGACTGATCCTTGGAGAAGGATGTCATGCTTGGGAGGGTGGAGGGACAGCACAGGTGGAGAAGACCCTCTATGAGGTGGATTGATTCAGTGACTGGGGTAATCGGGATGGGTATGTCGGAGACCGTGCTATTGGCACAGGATAGAGCAGGGTTTAGGGCTGTTGTACATAGGGTCGCTATAAGTTGCAGGCAACTCGACAACACATAACAACACTTTACTTTTAAACTGACATCCTCTTTTTTTAAAAAAAAATTATTATTAATTTTAATGAACATTTATAGAGACTGGATTTCCATTCATTCATTGTTTTCCCTTTTCTCCCTGCCCACCCCTCCCTCCATCCTTTCTCTTTAATACAGATGACATTAAAGAGGTTCCAGGAGATTTGCTTCATGCAGATAAATGCAGCATCTCTCTCTTTCAAAGAAGATATTTATTCTTTTTTTTGAATTTCCCACAGTCTATTTTATTGCTATCAATCTCGTCACACATGGTCCAAGAATACACAAATAGTAAATGCAATATAATCGGTTATGTTCAAACATCACAGCCAGTGATGCTATGCTTGCCTGTGATCTTGCCGGTGTGAAACCATATCCACACCTCAGTGCCTCCAAACTGTTCAGCAAAGCTTCCTTGACCGTGAGCTGTTGTTGACTGGGGAGCAACCAGGTTGAGTACTACTATTTTCTTCCAGACTCTGAATAGCGGTAGGAATCTCAGCAAAGGTTCTCTTGGCATAGTGCCCAAATGTGGCCAGTCAGGGCTTTGATAAATCACAGCAATGTTCATCATCGCCAGAGCCTCCTCCCGGTTCCAGATAGGTCGGGCTGTGGTTCTAGCACCCCAAGCCTGATGCCCCTGAGACGCTGATTCTCGTCCAATGGGCGTTTATTCTTTTCTAACAGAAAAGTCTCTGTGTGAGACTGTGTGCGTATGCATCCAGTTTGGTGGTCGCCCTTGGCCTTCTCCAGCTTCGTGATGGAGGCGGGTCGGTCACAGGTATTGCCGCCCCCGTGGCAGGGGATCTCAGTATCATTGTGATTGGTGTTGATGGCTTCCACCAGCTCTTCCAGGTGCTCCTGCATGAAAGTAACAGTGGTGCAGGTCTTCTGACGGGCAAGGCTCGATGGGGTCCACAGGGTGGTGACAGTATTTCATCCCACGTGGAGGACATGTTATCCTGGTGGGACAGTCACCTTTGCCAACAGCCTCTGCCTCTGGTCACTACTTGTGGGCCAGTTTCAGCAGCTGAGTTAGCCCTCTGGCTGCCCACGGCCTGGGTCAACAAGTTAATAGTGGATGGCACCTTGAGTCACTTGTAGAGGATTGCCCTTTGCTGCTGCATTTGGATGTAGTGGTACCATTTGACAAAGAGGTTAGGGTCCCTTTTGGGTTGGATTCCCTGTCTGATGCCAAAGTTCTTGGGCTTTTTCTCCAATAGGGAAGGCTTTTTCCTTCCTGACACTAGTGGCTGCTGGGGCCCCCTTCTTCTTTTGCCCTTCGGCTCTTGGGTGGATGGACAAGCGCACACCTTTTGATTTCCTCAGTGCTGCTGCCTTGGGTGTTTATTGTGGATCCAAGTAAAATTAAGTAATTGACAGCTTCAATCTTTTCTCCATCCATCTTGATGTTACCCGTTGGTCCAGTTGTGAAGAATTTTGTTTTCTTGAAATCCATCTTGTTGTGATCTGTGTTCTAGGCTGCTGTAGACTTTTCTTTTCAGTACGTACTTTAAACTTCCATTTTCTGCGTACAAAGTTTTATCATCTGCATAACATGGTGGTAGAGGGTCTGCCTCTAATCCTGATGCCATCATCTTCCTGAGCCCACTTGTGTGAATTTGCTTATCATGCAGATTGAATGGAGGATACAACCCTGTTGCATTGCTTTCCTCATTTAAACATGCATAAATCTACAGACAGGTTTTGCATGAGCACAGTTAAGTGTCCGAGGATGGCTTTTCTAAATGTTATCTGTAGTTGATTAGGACACACGTGTCAAAGGCCTTTGTCCCTCATGAGTTGTGATGCTGACCCAAAGGCAGAATGTTTCCAGTGGTTCGAATCCATTTTGATTGACAGCTTCAGAAACCCATTTTGGAACCCACTTGATGGCAGAGAGCTGGGTACTCATTTAGTAGAGTGACAGGACCGACCAGGGGCTTGGAAGAATTCCATACATGGGATTTACCAATCCCAGCTCCACGAGGAGAACTGGCTTAAGGACTGTGGTGTTGGTGAAGAACACTGAACATACCACGGACTGTTGGAAGACTGATGGAATCTCTGGAGAAATGCGTGCAAGATGATCCTTGGAAAGGAACATGGCAAGATGTCCTCTGACCTTTAGACGTCCTGTCAAGATGGATAAATTCCCGGATGGTAATTCCACAGCGTCGTGGAGAAGAGGGAGATTGTCAACTGAATTGATGTGACTGCAGCAATGGGCACTGCAGGGTGTGAGGCTGGGGCAACTTGGGCATTTCCCGCCGTCTGTGGACGCACCAGCTTGATGGCTCCAAGCTGCAACCCCCATGGACAGATGTCTTGCACCTTGTCACATGAGCACCTTGCGTACAGCTGCAGACCTGGGTGCCACAGGCAGGAGAAGGGTGCACGTCAGGGTGGACCACTGGTGCCTCCTGTGCACCCAAGATGAAGGTGCTCGTTAAATAGCATGTGTCTCTGCCCTCCACAGAGCTGGGCTGAGGGGAGGGAGGGTCCTGTATGGAGTTGGAGGGCTTGCAGGCTGAGATCCTGGAGGTGGTGGCTAGGGCTCGAGTGACCACCCCACACGGTGGGGGCTTTGCATCCACATCCTGGGCTGAGGGGCTGCCACATCTTACTTGAGGGCCTGAGTACAGGAGAATGAAGAGGTGCTCTGTGGCTGCTGCCCCTCTGTGCTGCCTTCCTAGCCAAGCAGGGCTGCGTAGGGCGGTGTTGTCATTGTAGCGTGAGGGTCTGCACAAGCTTAGCTCTCTGCATGGTAGAGGGTGTGAGCCTCCTGCTGTTGGGGCCCTGGGAGTGGCCTGCTCCCGGGCAGTGCCGTCCGAGTCACTTGATGTCGGCCCTCATCCGTGTGATTGTTGACTCCCTTCTGCACCTGCCAGGCATCGGTTGATGTCCAGGAGTCTCAGTGAGGCCGCGCTGAAGCTCGTTCACCTCTAGTGCTGTGGTGTGTGTCTGCTCTCACATGCAGTGACAGGGCCACTTCCTAGTTTCAGCACTTGGGGTTTAGAGCCCTGGCCAGGTCCTTGTCACTGTGAGGGCAACCCTCGCAGGCCTGCAGGGTCCTTCCAGAGCTTTGTGGGGAGAAGCTGTCCCACCTGATGCTAGTTCTGAATAGGAGTGAAGAGATGAGAGTGTTCACAGCCCGGCTCCGGCTTGAGGCCATCTTCCTCTCTGAGAATGAGCCCATCTGTAAAGATGCTGCCTGCCGGGGTCCAGCACCAGGAACAGCTACCCTTAGCAGGCCAGAGGGGACACTGGCGCCTGGCCCTTGGTGTGGGCACTGGTGCGGGTTCTCGCGTTTGCGTGTAATGTGCCCAGAACCTCAGTCTTCTCACCCTGAGTTGGTCCACGCGTCTGTGTTTGCAGCTTGTTGCCAAAACACCTAATCTTGGTGTTTACCAAGGCTCAGATGTGTACTGGTCTGACAGGTTCCTGCCCTCAGGAGGCCATGGCCACCTGCTCGGGCTGCGTGATGCAGGACCAGGGAGCTGGTGCCCATGCCTGCTTCCGCTTGGGGCCCTGCTGCCGCCACCTCTTATGTTGGGGGGTTTGCCTGGGAGTCGGTGGTGGGCACGGCCTCCGCGCAGCACGTGCCAGTCACATCCTCAGAGCCTTCCCACAGGACTGGTCAGTGGACACACAGCTCCTCAGGGAGGGGACAAGTGCGCTTCCCTAGTTCCACATTGCTTGAGGACCGTTGTGTGTCCTGGTGACATGGGGTACAGAGGTGGCTCCCATCCTATTTGTAATGATTATTCCAGGGAGGCCAGAAGTATGTGACCTCCTAGCTGTGTCCCTTCCTCCTGAGGAGGTGTTACTGGCCCCCACCACTGTCTGTGGGTGCACCTAGCTGGCGGGTGCTATTGCAAAGACACGGAAGAAGAGGGTAGGAACAGCCCTGCCCCTGCCCAGATGGGCCCCACGGGCCTGTGGACAGAAGCTCTCTGGCTGGCCAGGCTCTGTGGCTTTGAGGTTGCCAGGGCATGTATGGTGCCCCACAAGGAGGTCGATGTGAGGCTGCCGAGCTGGGAGTTTGGGGCCCTGCTTCTGCGCTAAGCTTTGGGGTGTCCCTGCAACTCCAGTTGAGGGCCCTGTGTCCTGGCTTTGGCATTGCAGGGGTGTGGGGACAGGTGCATGTTCATGGTACCTGCTCACATGTGGGTCTCCAGGTACTGTTTCTGAATTTGAGAAGGGCAGGCATTGTAGGGCATCACTGCAGCCGATTTCCCCGGCTTGCGTCCTTTGTCTAGCGTCCTATCCCTATGGCTCTGGGTATCCACTCCACGTTTGAGCACTTGTGTCTCTGTTGTGCAGTGGACATGGCCCTCGGGCTGTCCGGGTGACCCGGTGTCGTGGCCCCATTCCTGTGTGGACATGGCCCTCGGGCTAACATGGTGACCCGGTGTGGTGGAAATGGCCCTCAGGCTCACTGATGTTCATTTGTGTTGCAGGAAGCTCTTCGTGGGTGGACTGGACTGGAGCACGACTCAAGGTAGGTGCAGCAGTGGACGGCAGCCAGCCTGCTCCTGGGTCGTGCGGGTGGGCTCTCGTTTCGGACGTTGTGCTCAGTCCGTGTGACACTGTCATCAATCTGGGGGCATTGAATTGAACTTGAGTGGGGCAGGAATCACGGGTCATCTGTTGGACTTGTTTGGACGTCCGTGTCGGAGCCCTGGGAAAGTGTGTAGGCGGCTAGTTCCCAGTCCCGGTCGGGTGGATCTGCAGGCAGGAGGCTGCGGGCGCTGAGCACTGGCCGCATCCCGGCTCTGGCTCTGCCTGCATTTTGTGGCGGTCAGGAGACCTCAAAACTGGAAAGGGTGTTAGTGACATTGTGAGAACCTCCTGGAATTGGGCCTCTCTAGTGGACCGACCCTTCCTTAACCTCCTCCCCACAACCCACTAGTCAACATCTGTTATGCTGGTAAGGCCAGTGGGGGAGAGGGTAGAGTAAGTGTGAGTGTGCACACCTCAGTGGTGTGATGGGTGTGCGTGCACCCACGTGTGTGCCGGTTCTCCCGAGAGCCCTCTGTAACCCTCAGCGCTGTGTATGTGTTCTGTCCGTTCTCTGAGCAGAGACACTGCGCAGTTACTTTTCTCAATATGGAGAAGTTGTCGACTGTGTTATCATGAAAGATAAAACCACCAACCAGTCGCGAGGATTCGGGTTTGTCAAATTTAAAGACCCAAACTGTGTGGGGACGGTGCTGGCCAGCAGACCACACACCCTAGATGGCCGCAATGTAAGTCTCCTGGGCGTGTTGTCCTTCCCTTATGTGAGGGTTGGTAGGCCTGGGCCATGGGTTCAGGGTGGCTCTGCTTGCTGACTTCTGCTCAGCACAGGGCCCTCCAGCTCACATGGTCTGTCGGCAACTCCACAGATTGACCCGAAGCCATGCACACCGCGGGGTATGCAGCCGGAGAGGACACGGCCCAAGGAAGGCTGGGTGAGCACTGCTGGCTGTGGGCCTGGGGCTGGTGGGCTTGGGCCTCAGGTGGCCTGTGAGTTTGGACCTGTGGACTGTGCCATCCTGGGGGAGGAGGGGCTGAAAGTGGCTTCTGTTGGTAATTGCCGCATGGAGGCCCATGAGCCCAGTGCCACCATGACCTGAGAGCACCTGACTTCTGCAGCTGGGAGGATAGGATGTGGCATCCTGAGTGCTTGGAACTGGGAGGTCAGAAGACAGAACAGACTGAGCAGAACCTCAGTGCACTCTTTAGGCCTCCCGTCCCCACGCTGAGCCTCCTGGAATGGGCTCTGCTGTGGCCAGCTTTCTGCATGGCTGTCCATCAGTGTCCCACAGCAGCTAACCCCCTTCTCTTTGAATCTGCAGAAAGGACCCAGGAGTGACAACAGTAAATCAAACAAAATATTTGTTGGTGGGATCCCGCACAACTGTGGTGAGACAGAGCTCAGGGAATACTTCAAGAAATTTGGAGTGGTGAGTGCCCTTCTGTCTAGAGGGCTACCCTACCCACACAGAAAAGACCAGAACCAGCCTCCCCCTCAGCTGCTGAGGGCCTTTTGCTCCGTGGTACCCATGGGTGTTAAGTGTTAGGTTTTAGTGTCTGAGGAAGAATGGGATTCGCCCCCGCCATGGGAGCTGGCCTCTGTGGCTGTGTCCCTTGATCTCAGGTCTCTTCTACAGGAATAGCCTGGCCCAGTTGGAGGGTGGAAGAGGGCATGGTCCCACTTTGTCCAGGCCTTCAGGGCAGCATGAGCCCTGTCCCTGTGGAGCTGATGTCTTCAGGGTGGCTTTGCCCTTGACACTGTGACCATGGGCCACACCTCTCTGGGATCCCATCCGGGCTATTCAAGCCCTCAGTGGGCAGGGATGCAGAGGGCAGGACGCAGGGTTACTGCTGCCCTGGGGGGGGGGGGGTCAGACAGCACAGGATGCTGGGGTGCTGCTGTCCTCAGTTGAGTTGCTTCCTGGCGTTGTCTAGAAGCACCAGGCCCAGTGACGACTCCTCAAGACTTCTGCCAGGACTTTTGGGTCAGCAGCCCCCTGGATGTCACTACATGGCTGTGATGCCTCTAGGGCCAGGCTGCCCTGGGCTGGGGCCTACCTTCAGGGTTGGGGCCTTGGGTGATAGCCAGGCGTGCGTCCCAGGCCTTGGCTTCCCGTGTCTGAGCCTGTGATCCTCTGTCGCAGGTCACAGAAGTGGTGATGATCTACGATGCTGAGAAGCAGAGGCCTCGAGGTAAAGGCAGATCTCGTTTGTCCTCCTTCCCCCTCAGATGGCAAACTATCTCGTGAGATAACGGCCGGCGCCCAGCCTCCCAGGCGGGCCTGCTGCCGTCCGGCCTGCCCCTTTTTTTAATGCCTTTTGGCATTTTTCCTTTAATGTGGTTTTTCTTTTTAAATGTGTATTGACCATACCGGGACCTTCCTCAGACTTGTCCCCAGTCAGCACCAGTGTAGACAGATGGCCACCTCTGGCTGTCAGGATGTCCCTTCCCCACCAGTCCAACCTATGCTCCTTTCTCGATTTTTGCCCTTTTCTTTTCTCTCTTTCTTTTCTGTTACTTTATTTTTTTTTTTTTATTTTTTTTTTTTTTGGCCCCTGAAAGGTGGACAGTCAACAGCCCAGTGTCCACTGAGTGGAGCGGGTGACCTCCCTATTCCCCTGGCTCTGCCGCCCGCAGCACCCCTCCCCGTAGGCACTCCAGGGCAGGCTGTGCACAGGGCTGTCTGTCGGGCCGGTTCCTCTGTCTGCGGCCTGGCTCGGCCCATGTGTGCCGAGGGGCCCTGGGTGCGGCCGCAGCATGCTCCGCCATGCTGGAGCATAGTTTGCCATTTGAACTTCCACCTTTTTCTTGTCATGATTAAGTAAAGTACTCCCCACTCGGTGTGGAGTAAGCCGTTAAGTATTAGTCTTAATTTTAATGTAGACGTATGTGCTTAGCAGCATATTTAAGCATAAAGTACAGGAATGTTAAGTAAGCTGTTTCCTTTCTCTCTGCATTGTTTGTCATTAACGATCTCTCTAGATTTCTCTTCTCCAGGTGCTAAATGTTATCACACAGGTACAGGCCAGTTCCACAGTCAGGAGGGCGCGGGCTCTGCTCCAGTGGGGTGTAAACGAAGTTTCAGTGTGTTTTCTCTGCCGCTCCCGTGGTGACGTCCCCTTCCTGACAGATGCATCCTTAGACTTGCGCCAGGGCCCCTTCAGCCGGGGTCCGGCCTCGGGCAGTGGGCCTGTGGTTTCAGGGCTTCGGCGGCCTGAGCAGTGTGACGTTTTGGAATGTGTTGTGTCATCACCTACAATGTTTTGTTCCAAATGTTGCCTCTGATCTTGTGAAGCTCTGTGTACAGGGACATGGCACTGGCTCCTCCCGAGGCCTCTGGCTGTGCTGCAGGCCGGGCAGGAGGAGCGGAAGCCTCGTCATCAGCCTCTGGGGTCTCCCTCAGGCACATTCGGGGTGCAGCACCTTTCCAGGGTCACCTTCCTGGTCTCCAACGCTTTCTGCCTCTGAGTGGCCATCTCCCTTCTTGATTGTTTCTTTACTCCCTTCCGCCATCCCCATTCCAGGGGTCTGCCACAAGTCCTGTCCTTGGGTCCCCCACCCCCCAATCAGTCTTCAACGTGAGTTCTGACATGAGTCCAGTCCTTGGCTTCTCCCCTGCGCCCAGTACCTGTCCAAGGGTCTGACCCAGGTTCTGTGTGCATCCCACGTGTGTCTCAGTATCTCCACACATCTGGCGGGGCTTTCCCGGAACCTCCTGCTATCTCCCCACCACTCTCCTGGCTGCCCAGTGCCTGGCTGCCTCGCAGCCCCATGCCAAGGGCCCATGCCTGCCGCCTTTCTGCTGGCGCCACCTGCCCTGTACTCCAGCCGCGGTTCTGTCCTGTTGTCTCTGCGTTTCCATGTGCGTGTCTGCTCCCGTGTGCATGTGGAGAACACACCTAGGCCCCAGGCCCACAGCTGCTTCACTGGCCATCTCAGTCCCTTCTGATCTCCAGGCTGGCTCTCCCCTCCCTTCCCCCCACCACCCCCTACCTGTCGCTCACACACGTCTGTCCCGTGTGGCCTACGTTACCTGCTGAGGGCACCCGTCGGCAGCAGAGGCTGGTCCTCCCCAGTGGCCTAAAGCTCACGCTCTGCCCACCCAGCGCTGAGCGTGCTCCTTGGGGCACAAAGCTCCTGACCCCTCACCTGGCCTCGGGCCTCTCTCCAGACCCCGCTCTGCCCATGCCATCCATGTCTGTCCTTTGTTCTTCTGCGGCCGGGGCCGCTGTCGGCTGTCTGGGTGGGAATCCCTCACCCTCTTCGCACCCTAGGAAGTGGAGTGCCAGGGGAGGGGGTGCGGCGCCCACAATCCAGCCCTCTGCGGAGTAGCCCTTGAGGATGAAGGGCTCCTGATTGGGGTGCGCTGAGCCCAGACCAACCAAACTTCGTTTATACTGCCACCTTGTGGTCGTGGGGAGACGCTAACTAGTTCTCCTTGATGATTTTTCCTTTTTTGATGGTGTGATGCCTCTTGCTCTTGCTGCTGACAGCAGAATTTGACCTGCTGGGATCCATTTTGGCCTGTATCTTTGTGTATTTTATTTATTTACTTAGGTATTTATATTTACTTATGTATTATCTATTATATTACGATATCTATGTATTTATATCTACATACACACTTCTGTACGTACGTATATCACCTCTGCTAGGACTCCGTGGGCTTAGCCAACAGCGTTGGGTAAGCTTAGTGAGGCACTAACTGGTAGATACTGTGGTTGAACGCTCTAGAACAAGATCTGGCTGCTGTCAGCACTAGCTGCAAAGCACATTGCAAACCGAGGGGGAGGCCCAGGTCTCGGTGAGGCCGACCACGCACACACTCACCTGGCCAGTCACTGGCCGACGGGCGCTTAGGAACCTTCAGCCTGCGTGCATCAGCCCCTTCACCTCTGTGCACACGCATTTCCTGTGTGCCCTGCCGGTGGCCCAGGGGCCAGGGCTGCCACTGAGAATGCAGGCGTCTGGCCCGTGGCGCCGCCTGCTCTGGTGCCTACGTGCTGGAGCAGGGGTGGCGGCCCTGGCGGCTGCTGTTCAGGCCCCCGTGCGGGCAGTACTCACATGTGCTTAGCTGGAACCTGGCTGATCCCTCGGTCCGTCCCTAATACTGTTCATCATCCTGTTTTGTGTCACAACACCCTGCTACCTTGATTCACTCTTCGTCGTTGGCTAGGTTTTGGATTTATTACTTTCGAGGACGAACAATCAGTGGACCAGGCTGTCAACATGCATTTTCACGACATCATGGGCAAAAAAGTGTGTAGTTGTAGTTTTATTTTACCTTAAGACCAAACCAAGTCTTAGGCAACCGAGCGGCTCCCCTGGTGAACCTGCCCCTGCCCGGAACAGCCAGCCGTGTGTGCCAAGGTCCTGGCTGCAGAGCCCGGGGCTCCAGGTAGTGGGGGTTGGGGGGACGAGGGCCTAGTCCTGCCTGCAGATGGACCCAGGCAGCTCTGATGGGGGTGGGGTGGGGTGGGGGACACCCAGGGACGGTGGCAGGCTGGCCCAGGGGGACCGGCTGCAGTGTTGCCTCAGGCTTGGTTCCATTGACCACTCCTTCAGATGTCTGTCTCATGCAATTGTCTAGTCCTGGCCCAACGGCAGGACGGCAGAGGCCTCGGAGCGCTGAGGCTCTGTGTCAAAACGAGTGAACCATAAACATCATGAAGGATTGGTGTTTTTCAATTGGGTCACTTACTGTGAACTCCGGTACAAGCACCTGCTCTCGGTAGATTTAACCACCTGCAGTTAAGTGACCCTGGGTTGTTTGATCTTCATACTGTGTTGGTGCTATGGAGGTGAGCAGGGAGCTGGGGCCAGGGGGCGTGCACGTTCTTCCAGGCCTTGGATGCTTGGACTTAGCTTGCTGGGATCCCCCATTTTCACAGCTGCTCTGGACCCTGCCCCCTGTTTTTTGCTGGGCTCTTAAAAGTGACTTTGAAGTGGCAGGGCTGCACCTGCTCCCACATTTGGCCTTGCCTCCCCTTGCTCGGCCCCTGCTCCCCCATTCAATGAGCCCCCTGCCCTAGGTCAGTGCTGTCCACCTTTCTACCATGCTCACTAGCCATCTGTGTGCCCCATAATAGCCCTACAGGGCCAGGAGTGACAGGCATGTGCCCAGCCGTGCCCAGCGCCTGTTACAGTCTTAAATCAGCCCTTTAGCTGATTGGCAGCAGGACCAGCAGCTCTCTGGGCCAGCGCAGAGCGGGACAAAATGTGGCCTCAGTGTCCAGCCCACCTGCCTGGCCCCAGACGCCTGCCCCAGATAGATGAGGCGGCAGTGAGGAACGCCCAGCACTGTCCCACTGCCTCCTTTGCCCCAGGGAGGGTTTTTAGTCTCACACACACGTCCTTGGGACTCAAGGCCTGTGCAGGGCCACTTCCTGTAAACCCCACCAGGAAGAGGCTTGTGTCCGACGGAGCAGGAGGAGTCCTGAATGCTGCCAACAGACCTAAAGCTTCACACGCGTCCACCGGGTCTGTCCCTCAGCATAGATAGACTAGGTCCCCAGACCCCCACGCCACCCCCTCAGGTATTGTCCCTCCCTGGACACAAACCCGCCGGGTCTGTCCCTCAGCATGGGTAGGCTAGGTCCCAGCACCGGGCCCCCTCTCCCACCCCCCCTCAGGTATTATCCTCACCTGAGCAAACACAGTATGAAGATGGCTTACTGATTCCAATGTCCATTTTACTGCATGTTTGTTTACTTTTTCGTTAGATGTAATGTAAGGTTCTCTATCATATCCATTCCCTCTGACATTGTTTTGAGTTAATTAAGATTCTTTATGCATTAGCCTGGGGAAGGTAAGTCTTTATCTTCCATTAGACATTTTATAGAACAACCTTAAGTAAATAACTGTGTTTCTCAGGTATGAGCTCCAATTTTAGGCAGTTGTGGGCTCGGGGGACTTGGACATCCCTGTGGCGCTACCGCCGCAGTCCGGCTGCTGCAGCCGGGGGCCGGGAGAGGCTGTGGCGGTGGGAGGAGCTGGGCCCTTGGTCTTTTGTTACCAGACTGCCAGGGTGTGTGGCGGCTGTGCCCACTGGCCTGTGCTCATGGCCTCACCTCTGTAGGGCCAGTGTAGCTCCCAGTTGCACTTGTTGTACCTGAGAAACATTTTTTTAAAAAAAAAAAAAATTAAAACAAGACTTTTTAAAGAAAAGGAAAAGCTATCGGCCTAAATAAGGTTTATAGTTAAGTCTTTAGTCTTAAGTCATAAGATGCTAAGTGTAGTAGTAAGTTACCGTGGGTGTGTCTGACGGGACGGGGGTCGGGCCTGTGGCTGCTCCCTGAACCCCAGCTTGCTTTGTCCAGGTGGAAGTGAAGCGAGCAGAGCCTCGTGACAACAAGAGCCAGCCGCCGGGTCAGCCAGGGACCAGCCAGTGGGGCAGCCGGATTGTGCCCAGTGCCGCCAACGGCTGGGCCGGCCAGCCCCCACCCACATGGCAGCAAGGATATGGCCCACAAGGTGAGCTCCCTGGGGACCCTGCTTGTGTCTGCTCCCCAGCAGCATGGTGCCCTGTGCGGGGTCACTTCAGTTACACCCCAGCCCTGACAGCAGGGTGATTAAATGCTGTGCGGACCTCCTTGGACAACGCAGGGCGACATGAACTCAGAGGGTTCTGACTGACTAGGAATCCTTTCATGGTGTTAGTAAAACCATGGTTTTGGTAAAAGTAGCCCTGTAGATAGTTACAACAGCAAAAACGTGGTAAACCCAGCTTAATGTAGACCAACTGCTGTTGAAATACGGGGATAGTGCTCCTCGAGCTTCGTCTGAGGGAGCAGCTGGTGAATTCAAATCCCTGAGCTTTCGGTTAGCAGCCTGACACCAACATGTCCCGAGAGCTCCTGCAAGCCTGGCTTCCAAAGTCCAGTCAGTATCGGGCAGGTGGGGCGGTCCTCCACCCACAAGGCTCCATGCTTCCCCCTCCATGAGGCCCTGTGCTGCTCCCCTCTCCAGGCTCCACCAGCCCCGTGTTCCTCCCCCAAGGCTTCACACTCCCCCCCCCATGAGGCTCCATGCTTCCCCCTCCACAAGGCCCTGCCCTGGGCTGCTCCCCCTCCAGGCTCCATGATGCCCATGTTTCTCCCACACTCCGCAAGGCTTCCCATTTCCACCGCCAATGAGGCCCTGTGCTGCTCCCCTCCCCTGTGGCCGGGCTCCACCAGCCCCCTGTTCTCCCCACCACTGTGCTCCCCTCTCGGGCTCCATGAACCCTGTCAAGGACGTGGCTAGTGCTGTGGAGCTCGGCTCACGTTGGGGAATTTCCTGTCAGTGAGCAGAGTTGTAGTTAAAGGAGAAGGAGAAACGGGGAAAACCTCTGTTTGGGACTAACATAACTGACAAAGATGCCACTCAGCGTAGGAAGAATTCTTTTAAAAATTGTTAGAACTTCTGTGATCCTGAGAGCTGTTCCATCAGAGCCGTGGACGGCCGTGTCATGTCTGTGAATCCGCTGCGGAAGCAGCTTGGGCTTCTGTGTGCAGGAGGTCTTTGCAGGTGATGCCCCCTCCCCGAAGGGCTCTGCGGGCCTCCTTGGGGTTGTGCTGCCGGTAGCTGCACCTCTCTCTGGATTGACAGATGGGTGGGGTGGAGAGGCCTCAGGGAGACCGTGGACGTGGCTAACAGACTTAGCCCACAGTGACTGGAGTTCTGGGCACGAGGCAACAGGAGTGCTTTTGGCTCAGGCAGTCCCATCCTGAAGGTGTGTTCACCCCTGGCTCTGTCTGCCTAGTCTGTATCCACCTCCCCTTAAGTCAGGTGACCACCTGTGTCCACAACCAACTCCCCTGGCCTCGGAGACCCGGGGTCCAAGAACTTGGTGACTTCAGCAGGCTCTTGTGGCACAGCCCTGCCCCCATCTCTCATGAAGTGCATTAGGCAAGGCTGCAAACATGGAGCATGAGCAGCTTCCCAGGCCCCCGGGGAGCGACTCTGGCAGACCCCACAGTTTTCAGGGGCTGGGACCCAGCACCGCTTCTGCTGGCGGAGCTCCCCGTGCGCCCCACGGCCGGCCCGCTGTGTCATCCTTACACCCTCCACCGCGTGTGTACTGGACACTCAGGACACGGGGCTTGGCGAGGAGGAGGGCGGGTCAGCGAGATCATCTGGGTGGGTGTGAAGGTCCAGGGGTCTCAGCAGCACCAACCTGCCCCTTCTGTTTGCTGTGTAGGAATGTGGGTGCCCGCAGGACAGGCGATTGGTGAGTCCACACACTGTGGAGAGGGTGCTGTGGGGGGGGAGGCACCTCTGTCCCTGTGTCAAGAGGGGAGGGCCCCAGTGAGAGACACCCTCCTCACCCCTTTTCTATTGCAGGTGGCTACGGACCACCCCCCGCGGGGAGAGGCGCACCCCCACCACCCCCGCCCTTCACCTCCTACATCGTGTCCACGCCTCCTGGGGGCTTCCCACCACCGCAGGGCTTTCCCCAAGGCTATGGGGCCCCTCCTCAGTTCAGTAAGTGTGCTGTGGGAACCCGGGGTCCTGTGTCTTGTCACCCTTCTGCCCGACACTGCATGGGGTCTGTCCATGTGGTGGGGAGCCGGCCATCAGGGTTGTAGCAGGCACGTGACTGGGCACCACGCCTCACCTGGCTCACACTTCCTCAGACGTGGACCAGGTGCGCGTCCCAGCAGCGTCATGGGAGAGCTGCTGCCAGGCCAGAGTTAGGGCGGGAACGCGCTGCCTGTCGGTCAGTTTGTAAGGCCAGGCGGCTGCTGGATCCGAGTCCTCCCTTTGTCCATGATGCCTTAGTCACCTGTCAGTTTGGACACAAGAGCAGTGTGTCACACGGACACCTGTTGGGCCCTCTGTAGGGTGCGCCGTGCCTGGGGGTTTCGGTTCTGTGGGAAGCCTCCCTAGCCGAGTGTGTAGGCTTTGCTCAGGGCCGAGGCCACCTGGCTGCAGCTAGCCCCAGACCTGAGGAGCCAGCCGGGGAGGACACCTGCTCCTGGCAGTGAGTGAACATGACCTTGACTTTTTTCCCTGTTTGTTCCAGGCTTTGGCTACGGGCCTCCCCCACCGCCACCTGACCAGTTTGCCCCTCCAGGGGTCCCTCCCCCACCGGCCACTCCAGGGGCAGCACCACTGGCCTTCCCTCCACCTCCGTCTCAGGCCGCCCCAGACATGAGCAAACCCCCAGCGGCACAGCCCGACTTCCCCTACAGTCAGTACGGTACGTACCGGGTGCAGCCTCCTGCTGCCCATCCCACCCACTGCCGGCCCGAGGCCTGCGCCCGAGGAAGAGGTCTGTGAGCCAGCACTGTGGGCCAGCTGTCCAGGCTTGTGCTGGGGCAGGAGGCCCCGCAGCAGGGGCCGTCCTACCAACTGTCTGGTGGTCTTGGGAATGGCGGGCTCGAGCACCTGGGGCTTTTCTCCCTGTAGGAGTAGAGTTGGGGCTCTGGCACTGCCCTGGGCCGCTGCCCTCTGCCTAGCCTGGCACAGCAGCCCAGGGGAGTGGACCTGGGGTCCCTGCGCTCCGTGAGTGGGGCTCACGGGGCCTTTCCCTTCCCAGCAGGTTATGGACAGGACCTGAGTGGCTTTGGACAAGGCTTCTCGGACCCCAGCCAGCAGCCCCCCTCCTATGGCGGACCCTCAGTGCCAGGGCCCGGGGGCCCTCCCGCCGGCGGAAGTGGCTTTGGCCGAGGTCAGAACCACAACGTCCAGGGCTTCCATCCATACCGTCGCTAACGGCCCGGCGCCGCTGGAGGACTCGACAATCAGCGTGGCGGGCGGGCGGGCGGGTGGGCTTCTGCAGGCGAGGCTGTGGGTGTGCGGACTCAAGTTTTTAAATCTTTCTTTCTCTAACCCATCAGCACAATAAAAAAAAAAAGTCACTGGTTCAAACAACAGGGTTTTAAAAAGTTGTCTTCAGCTTTAATTCAAAACTTCAGGTTTCTTTTCCTTTCTCTTATTTTTTGGAAATTCTTTTCCTGAGCCTTTTGTGTTACCGTATATTGTAAACTTTTATGTTGAAAGAAAAAAACTATACATTTACAAATTGTGAGATTTTTAAGAGAAATTTTCTACGCTGTATCCTGGCTTATTTTTTAATTTAAAGCAGGGTCTCGTCAGCACTGGTGGCCGCGAGGGTGCTGTCCCAGCCTTACCCCTCGGGGTGTGGGACTCAGTGGTCCAGGAACTCTGGGAACCTAAAGAAATCTACTGAGCGTTTTGTTTTTGTTTATTCCTTTTATTGACTGACTGACTGGTGGTGTCTGCTGGGTGACCTGCAGTTTGATGGGTCACTGGCCGTGTGTCCTGCCAGCCCGTCTGGACCCTGATGGCGTGTGGCCTCCTCAGAAGCTGACCTTGGCGCGGGGTCTCAGTGTGTTTCCCGCTGACCAGTCTGACCCTAGTTTGAATAAAGAGAAGTGCATTTGGATTAGAACCTTCGTGTGTCTGTTCTTTTCTGGGGCTGAGCTGAGGAACTTTGGGAGCGAGGCCTAGATCCCTGAGTGTCCAGTGTCAGGCTGTCCCAGCTGAGGACACCACCTTTCCACTGGACATGGGAATCATTCGGGCTCTGAGCTGAAGAGCCCATGGGAAGCCTTGGGGTTGTTTGGTGGGGTGGCATGCAGCACCTGGGTGGTCCAGAAGGGCTGAGGGCCTGGCCCCTGGGGCTGCCCAGGGCCCAGTATCACCCTCACAGGCCACCTGGGCCCTGGTTTAGGACCGGGTTGGGGGTGGGGGGAAAGGCGAGGCTAAGGCCTGGCAGGTGAGTGAACAGATGTGTGCTGAGTCACCCAGCTGGACAGCCAGACCCCTCAGCGGGTTCGCCAGCCCACAAACCTCTGTGATCCCAACTCCTGAGCTTGACCCCATGCCTGAGAATTGCAGTTATTAGATCATCAGGGAGTAGGGGCAGGTATGAGGAAACAGGGTGTGACCAGAAACCAGGCTGGCCTCAGCAGAGTACTGGGGAGCCTTACCCTGGTGTCCAGTGGGCAGGCTGCAGGCCTTGAGGTCCACTTCGTGTCTAGACTTGATTCTTGGAAGGGTTGCCTTCTCTTGAATCAGCTATGACTGCTGGATTGGTAATAGCTTACCACTGCATAAAACCCTCTGCGGTGTGCCGAGGCCCCAGACTGATAGGAGACAGCCCCCACCCCGTAGGTTACGAAGGACACCACGAGGCCTCTTTGGTACTCTTGCTCTCGAGAGCTCTGGCAGAGGTTCAGGTGGCCAGCTGAGCCCCCAAATTCAGCAGTGGGAACGCCACCAGCAGCTCAGAGGGACAAGAAGATTCTCAGACTTGATTCCCTGCGAGGAAGTCCTGGATGGTCACGCAGACTTGCAGGGGCCTGTGAGCAACAGAGCTGACCCTGTCCTGTCCCCTGCCATCCTCACGTTCTGACATACGCGAGCCCTTTGTTGTAGTCAGGTGTCCATCCACCTGGTTGAGGATCTCTCTCACTGTCCACCTTCCCGAGCATGAGGTCCCTCTCCAAGGAACAGCTCCTCCCAGCACCATGCCCAGATGTGTGAGACGAAGGCTGGCCATCCTGGCTTCCCAGGAGTGCTCACTGCACTTGCCCCAGGACATACCTGCCCTTGGACAGGCCATGAGGTGTTCAGTGCTCTTCTCCAACATCACAGTTCAAAGGCACCCCTTTTTCCGTCACATACAGCGTCACCGAGAGTTGGAATTGACGAGAGTGGATTCTGGTTTTCACTTAACACTTCTTACTATAATTTAGGGAGCCTTGGTGGGGGTTTCTAATCGAAAGATTACCAGTTTGAATCCACGCAGCTCTCTCTCTGTCCCCTATGACTCCACAGTCACAGACTCCGAGAAGCCCTGTGAGAGGTGAGTCAGGAGTGGGTTCTGATTGGTCCAGAGCCACAGCACCTCTGGCGTCTCCTCCCATTCACATTTAACTGAAAACTAGCTCATTGCCATCAAGTCAGAACCAACGCGTAGGTGACCCTCCTGCCAGTTTTTCAGCAGCCTTAAGTCACACAGGAGGAGATTGCCCATCTCTCTATCTGACTTTTCATGGCCTATTGCTTCAAGTTTATCGTGAACTCTGGAGGAGGCAAACACTTGGCAGTGAGCCACAAAGGTTTTTAGAAGAGGCCATGGAGATAGTATTGCCAATGTCAGATGGATCTGGACAGAAAGTACCAGAGGAATGTCTATCTGTGTCTCATTTACTATGCAAAGGCAAATTGTGGCTAACCTTGAGAAAAATGGGAATCCTAGAACTCTGGATTGTGCCTATGTGAAACCTATACTTGGACCTTTGATGGATGTTGATAGTTGTAGAGGGACTTCAAGCCTTTTGTTCATAGAGTCGCTATGAGTCGTGCTCAACTCGAAGGCAATCAACAACGACATACTAGGACTAGGAAGCAGTCCTCAGAACAGAGCAAGGAAACACCGCATGGTTCAAAATCAGGAAAGGAGTACATAAGGATGCCTCCTATCTCCATATCTTCAATTTGTATGCAGAACAGAACATCTGGGAGGCTGGATGTTATGTGGAGGAATGTGGCATCAGGATTGGAGGTAGAGCAGATGACATAAACCTTGTTTGATGAAACAGTAAGACCTGAAGCACTTGCTATAGAAGGTCCAGGACTTAAAAAAAAGGTCAAGGACTATAGTCTTCAATATGGATTGAAGATGAACGTAAAAAGACATTCTCGGGGAGAGAATAGTCTAAAAGTATTATATTTTAGGGCATTATTTTTATCGTAGGAGTACGCAACGAGGGTTGCAGAGTGGATTATATTTGTGGTAGGGGGTGGGGTTTGGGGAGGTGCAGGGGGATTGTGTAGCAATGAAGGAGTTTTTCTTTTGCTTTTCAGGGAGAGGAGCAAACGGGGGGGGTTTGTGCGGGGAGAAGGGTGCAACAATGAATGAATGAATGGAATTCCAAAATCTCTGTAGATGCTCATGGAAATGAAAAATAAACAAACTAAATTAAAAAAAAAAAGACATTCTCACCACTGGGCCAACTGGCAGCACCATGATTGATGGAGAAGCGTTTGAGGTTGTTAACAATTTTTACCTTGCTCAGTTCCACTATCAACACTCTTGGCACCAGCAGTCAGGAAATCAAAAGATGAACTGCACCGGGGAAATTGGCTGTTAGGGATCTTTCCAGAGTGGTGAAAAACAACAATGTCTGTCTAGGGTCTCAGGCGTGTCTGTTCCAGGTCGTGGTCTTTGGAATTACTTGTTGTTCATGAGAAGGCTGGACATTGACTAAGGATGACAGAAGAATCAATGCCTTCAAGCTGTGGTGCTGGAGAAGAGTCTTCAACATACCATGGACTGCCAAGAAAACAAATTGGTCTGTCTTGGAGAGGGCGAAACCATCTTTCTCCTTGGAGTTTAGGATTTTGAAGCTCTGTCTTCCATACTTTGGGCACGTGGCCAGGGAGGACTGGTCCTTGGAGAAGGACATCATGCTTAGAAAGGTGGAGAGATAGCACAGAAGAGGAAGACCCCCGGATGAGATGGTGTGTTGGAGTCAGTGAGACTGGCTCAGGACAAGGCAGGCTTCAGAGCTGCTAAACATAGGGTCGCAGGCCGCTCAATGACAGGGAGCTCTGGTGACCTAGTGATAAGAAGTTGTGCTGCAGTCCTAAAGGCACGCAGTTCAAATCCACCAGTTGCTCCATGGGAGAGGGATGGGAAATCGCCTCCCGTGGAGTTGACAGTTTCTGAAAACCCATTGGAGGGTGGTTCCGAATTGAAGGAACAGAGGGACTTGGGCCCCTGAAACCGCTGTGGAGCAAATGTGCTGTGACATGCAGTGGGTCACTATGAGTCAGTGGCCACATAGCTGGCTTTTGAGTTTTGCGTATCCGGGAAGCCGGTCCCCAATCTCCTCACCCCTAAAACGCCTGGATGAAGCTATACCGCCCCTTCTGAAATTACCATCTTTGCTATGTGTCCATGGACACAGTGTCTGCCCCATCCATGCTAATTGGACCTTGCTGAAAAGTGCCACATTTTGTTTGCACACCCCAAATTTCCAAATGAGGAGTGTTGCTGTTGTTGTTATGTGTCGTTGAGTCGCTTGAGACTCATAGTGACCTTATGTACAACAGCCCTAAACCCTGCTCTGTCCTGTGTCAATCTCACTGTCTCTGAGACCCCCACCCCGATTACCCTAGTCACTGAATCAATCCACCTCATAGAGGGCCTTCCCCTCCTGTGCTGTCCCACCATCCTACCAAGCTTGTGATGTCCTTCTCCAAGGACTGGTCCCTCCTTGCAACAGGTCCAAAGTATGTCAGACGAAGCCTCAGAATTCTTGCCTCCAAGGAGCAGCCTGGTTTAACCCTCTCCAAGACAAACATGTTTGTTTTCTTAGCAGTCCATGGTACATTCAATACTCTTCTCCAGCCCCATAGCTCAAAGGCATCAATTCTCCATCCTCCCTAGTCAACTCTCTGATGCATAAGTGATTGCAAAGACCATGACCTGTATCAGGAGCACCCACTCTAGTCTCCAGAGTGACACCATTGCTCTTCAGTATTTTTGAGAGGTCCCTAATAGCAGTCTTTCCCGTCGTAATACGTCTTTTAATTTCCTGGTTGCTGGTGCCAAGAGTGATGACTGTGGAGCCAAGCAAAGTAAAGCTGTTAACAATCTTGATCTCTTCATCATCCACCCTGATACTGCCAATCGGCCCAGTGGTGGGAATCTTGTCTTCTTGATATTGAGACTCAATCCATATTGAAGACTGCAGTCCTTGACCCTCTGCAGCAAGCACTTCAGGTCCTCCTCAGTTTTAGCGAGCAGGGTTGTGTCATCTGCATAATAACAGATTGTTGATGGATCTTCCACCTATCCTGACACCACACTTCTCATAGAGCCCAGCCTCCCGGTATGGAGACATATGCACAGCCATGTTTATCACGGCTTTGTTCACAATAGCAAGGAGTTGGAAACAACCCAAGTGCCCATCAACAAACGAATGGATAGAGAAGCTGTGGTATATTCACACAACGGAATACTACACTGCATTGAAAAACAAGGAACTCATGCAACATTATTCAACATGGGTGACCCTGGAGGACATTATGCTGAGTGAAGTATGTCAGTTACAAAAGGACAAATACTGCATGGTGCCACTGTTGTAACACAGGACTGACCTCGGGGTTGTGGGGAGACTGAGAAAGATGGGTTCAGTAATGTATACTGCATTGAAAGATGCGGGAGAAAACTGTTTGAAAGGGATATGTGAGGATGTTGCCAACAAAATTGGGATCATCTAAACTGAGTCCAGCGGGCTAATTCTAAATGTAATAAATTTTTCTCACCATAAAAAAAAAAAAAAAGAAAGGGATATGTGATTAGGTATTTTTGTCATGACAGGAGTCCAGAGCGAAGACTGCATAGTGGACCTGGGGGCAGGGATTATAAAACAATGAAAGAATTTTTCTTTCACTTTTCCAAGAGGGGAGTGTACTGGGAGGGAGGGCTGGTAGGGGAGAAAAGTGCAACAATGAATGAATGGAAATCCAAAGTCTCTGTAAAATTTCATTGAAATTAATAATTTTTTTGATAAAAAGGTATGGAGACAGGACACGTTCCTGATGTATACCCTTCGCAATTTTTATTTATGGGGAGTACCCTATAAATATATAGCAATGGGTACCATTATGTTGTACATAGGGTCACTGTGAGTCGCAAGAGACTCGACGGCACATAACCACCACCACCACCCCCATTATGTGCATTACAGAGCACAAATCAGACAATGTGGTGACTTGCTCCAGGTTCCCTGGTCGAGGTAGCAGCTCTGCTAACCTTAGGAGGCCGGCCCAGCTCGGGGAATGTACCTGCAAGGAAAAGCACCTCCCCACCCCCCACCCCCCGACAAGACCCTCAGCATGTGCTGCAGCCTCCGAGCAGCAGAGGGCGACGATCCTAGCGGACAAAGCGGAAGTGGGCGTGCGCGCATGGCCGGGGGCGGGGCACGCCGGGCGAGCTCGCGATAACTGCGCAGCCGCGGCCAGAAGCGCCCTTTCCCTAGACTCCGACAAGATGGTGAGTGTTGCGACCTTGCGTCTGTGCGCGGCCCATCCGGCTCCATCCCCGCCGGGGCCGCGCAGTGAGGCCAGAGTTCGTCTCTGTGGCCATGACGGCCTCCTCTAGGCCTCCGGGGAGCCCGATACGGGGCGCAGGGCGGGCATGGTGGGTGCGAGCACGGCCGAGGGCGGGCGGCTCGGGGGCTCGGCCGGCCCCGCCGGGCTCCGGTAGCCGCGCGGGCGCCCTAGCTGCTCGGTCGCCGTCGAGTGTCCTCCCGCACGCCGGTGGCTCGCGGTCCCCGGAGGACCCTCGGGTCCTGGGACCCGGCTGCCCGCGCCTTAGTGGCGGCGGCCGCAGGACGTGGGTCTCCTGGTGACACTGTGTCCCTGATCCGCGCAGGCGGAAGTGGAGCAGAAAAAGAAGCGGACCTTCCGCAAGTTCACCTACCGCGGCGTGGATCTAGACCAGCTGCTGGACATGTCCTAGTGAGTGGTCTGGGGGCGGCCGGGGTCCCGGGGCGGGGTCGGGGCTGGTGACTGCGGCCGGGGTCCGGGCTCCCGGGGCGGGGTCGGGGCTGCGAGTGATCGGGGTCCGGGCTCCCGGGTGACAGCCGGCACTGGGTTTTGCGGGGCGTCCCTGAGGTCGGTAGCGGACCCCTGGGAACACGGGATCGGAGAGGGGACGAGTAGGCGCTGCCACGACCTTGTTCCCGGGCTTTTCTTCCAAGACCTTTCTGATCTTGGCAGCCGTTCAGAGGCGCGTGGGGACGGGCTCGAGCTGCGTGTCCGGAGCGCAGACAGGCTGCTGGACGCCTCGTGCTGCCCGCGGGCCGAGCAGCGCGGTCCCTGACAGTGTGGGCGGCGTTGGGGCGGGTGTTGGAGGGGCTGCCACGTCCTGCTCACGCCTGCCCGCCTGTCCCCCTCCAGCGAGCAGCTGATGCAGCTGTACAGCGCTCGGCAGCGGCGGCGGCTGAACCGGGGTCTGCGCAGAAAGCAGCACTCGCTGCTGAAGCGGCTTCGCAAGGCCAAGAAGGAGGCGCCCCCGATGGAGAAGCCTGAGGTGGTGAAGACGCACCTGCGGGACATGATCATCCTGCCCGAGATGGTGGGCAGCATGGTGGGCGTGTACAACGGCAAGACCTTCAACCAGGTGGAGATCAAGGTGAGTGGGGCGTCGGTGTCGGCTGGCCCGCCCCGCCCTGTCCCCCGACAGCCCCTCATGCTCTCTTCCCTTCTGCAGCCCGAGATGATCGGACACTACCTGGGTGAATTCTCCATCACCTACAAGCCCGTCAAGCACGGCCGGCCTGGCATCGGCGCCACCCACTCCTCCCGCTTCATCCCGCTCAAGTAGCCCTGTGACAATAAAGGTCGTGGACAAACCACCTGTGTCGGCTCTCTGAGGACTCGGGCGGGAGCAGAGCTGCAGGTGGTGGGGGTGTGGGATCAGGGTCCACCCGAGAAGCTGCCGGTCGTGCTCGGCTCAGGCACACTGCTGCCCGCTTGACCCTCGCCCCTCCACAGAGTCTGTTCAGTGAGAGGGAGTCTCGCAGTTCACCATAGGATTAGGCTCCTGTAAGTTCTGCAGCTGTTTTTCCCCAAGATGAAAGGATACACGTGGTGCTCAGAACAGGCACCCGATGGAGGGGAGAGGCCCTGCCTGGCTAGGCAAGGCTGGACCAGCGAGCAGTCGCGTGTGATACCTCAGACTGAGGAGCACGCCCCTCAGCCAGATGGATGTCCCAGAACGGTGCACATGGCCCCTGGGGCGAGAGGGCAGCTCCCAGAGGGCCCACTCCATGTCCCCAACAACAGACGGAGGTCAGTCTTGATGTGGGCAGTTTTCTCTTGGTTAGGGGCTAAAGGAATAGAATTTTGGACACGTGACACAGTTGGTGAAGTGGGTGGAGTTTCCTGTTGGAAAGTTCACTTGGGAACCTCAAAGCTGCAGACTCCTCACTGAACAGGGGCGGGGGGCACTCAGGCTGGTCACACCGATGAACAAGTGTGTGGCAGGCGGGGGAGCTGGGCACTGCCCGAACGCTGGCAGCTCACTACGCCACTTCGGACAGAATGGTCCAACGTTGGGCTCTGATCTGAGTCTCAAACTTGAATCAGACCAAAGACCTCACGACAGCTGAATGTTTTAATGGGCTGGTCAACGTGGTGCATGTGGTGGGCTCCGTGAGCTTAAACTCAGCCTGATACGTGGCAGTGGTGGGCTCCCTGTGTTCTCTGGGAAGTGGGTAACAGGAAGCATGGCCAGGAGGGCCTGAGCAGCCCAGGAACACTCAGGGCAGCCCTGTCAGGCGTGGCTGCTGAGAGGAGAGCCTTCCATTAGCAGTTTAGGTGACAGGTGAGCCGTTCTCGGCAGGACTGAGGCTGACCTGGATGTGTGTGATTCCAGAAGTCTGTGAGCCCGAGCTCCCCATTTATAATTGTAAACTTCAGTCTTGGGAACTAGGATTAGGATGAGACATTTTGAAGACTCTACCACTGTAAAGTGTGACACAAGTGACCACCTTTGCTCTGAAGGTGGTGGTTGCAGACGGAGAGTATTTTTTTTTATAATTGTTGAGACAGACTACCAAGAATGAGGTAAGAGAGTAAAGACATTCCCTGTATGGGGTAGTAAAGGAAAATCAAACAAGGGATCATGGGGAAGTCTTGCAGATAGGGCCAGTTTCCTTTGTATTATTTACCTTATGCCTATCTTAGGCAGGTGGAATTCCTTAAATACAAACTAACCACTATGTTGACTTTTAGGGACTACCTTAATGCTACAGGGTGAAGTCTAGCTCCTATTAAGCCTCCCTCTAGGGGAGTTCTGGTGGCCTAGTGGCAAGGACCTGCAACTACAATCCCAGAGGCGCACGGTTCAAATCCACCAGATGCTCTGCCAGGGAAGGAGGGACAATTTCCTCCTGTACCAGTCAGATCTGATTTGACGGTACACACACAAATAATAAAAATTAAAAAAAAAAAAAAGCCTCCCTCAGCCTGATCAAGAAAACAGATTCCACCCACTGGGCCTATTTGCAGCATCAGTATGGATGATGAAGAGTTTGAGATAGTTAACCATTCTAGTTTGCTTGGCTCCACAGTCAGCATTCTTGCTAACAGCAGCCAGGAAATAGATGTTTTCAATGAAAAAGTCAGCTGTGAGGGACCTCTCAAAAGAGTACTGAAGAGCAACTATGTCAGGCTAGAGACTAAGGTGCGCCTGATCCAGGCTATAGGTTTTGCATCAGAGAGTTGGACAGTGAATAGCTGTGGTGCTGGAGAAGAGTGTTGAATATACCATGGACTGTTAGGAGAACGAACACGTTTGTCCTGGAGAGGTGGAAGCCAGAATGTTCCCTGGAGTCAAGGGTTCTGAAACTTCGTCTGACATACTTTGGGCATGTTGTAAGGAGGGACTGGTCCTTGGAGAGGGACATCATGTTTGGCAGAGTGGAGGGACGGCGCAGGAGAGGAAGACTCAATGAGATGGATCAATTCTGTGAGTGGAGTGGTGGGAATGAGTGTTTGAGACGGTGAGGTTTGCACAGGAGAGAACGGCGTTTAGCGCTCTTGTACACAGGGTCACTATGAGTCTCAAGGGACTTGATGGCACATAACAACAAAGCCTGATACAGCATTTTGTTTATTAATACTAAATTTGCTGTTTGGTTCCCCACAGGTTGTGGTTTATAGCTCTGAGATCTCATGTGCTGGAGCTTGTGTCCAGCTCATTTTCACTGGGGACATCAAGTCACATGAGCTGTTGGGCAGTATCCCACCCACAGCCTCAGCCTGCAGGCTCCTAGCCCATTGTTTGTGGCATTGTACCACCTGCAATGTTGCTGTTAGGAACTGTGAGGCTGGGCTCTCTAGGAAGAATCTAACCAACCAATCTTTGAGTCACACAACTTCATGCCACACTGATAAGGATGAAGGTGGTTGGTGGAGGAGAGCACTGAATATCTCCAAAGAATGAACATAAGTCTTGGAGAAGGTGCAGCCAGAGTGCTTGGAAGCGAAGCTTCCTCTCAATGGATGTTTTCCTAGGAGAGGCCATTCAGAGACTGACTTCATGCTTGGAAACGAGGGTCAGCAAAGGAGCGCTGGGTTGACAGTGACAGCAGCAGTGGCCTGGAGTGTCAGGTGATGACCATGGCACAGGGTTGGTTCTGATCATAGGGTCGCTGAGAGTTAACGCTCGATGTCCAGGAATGTGGTCCCAACACAGAGATGTACTAACCGGTGCTTGCTGCAGAAGGTCAAGGACTGCAGTCTTCAATATGGATTGAAGCTCACTCAACATCAAGAAAAAGACTCTCACCACTGGGCTGATTGGCATGCCATTATGGATGGTGAAGAGATTGAGATCGTTAACAATTTCAGTTTGCTTGGCTCCACAGTCAACTGTGACCAAGAGTCAAGACTGGCTCTTGGTACCAACAGCCAGGAAATCATTGCATTGGGAAAATCAGCTGTCCAAATTACTGAAGAGCAACAATGTCAGGCTGGAGACTAAGGTGAGCCTGATCTGGGCCATCGTCTGCAACTGTGTGATATGTGAGCTGGACGGTGACTAGGGATGATAGAGAATTGATGGCTCTGAACTGTGGTGCTGAAGAATATACTATGGACGGATAGGAGAACAAACAGGTTTGTCCTGGAGAGGGTGAAACCAAGCTGCTCCTTGTAGGCAAGGATTGTGAACCTTTGTCTGATGTACTTTGGGCATGTTGCAAGGAGGGACCAGTCCTTGGAGAGGGACATCTTGTTTGGGAGAGACTGTGCAGGAGAGGAAGACCCTCAATGAGTTGGATTGATTGATTCAGTGATTGGGGTAATGGGGGTGGGTGTGTCATGACAGTGAGGTTGGTACAGAACAGAGCAGGGTTCAGGGCATTGCGACTCGATGGCACATAACCATGAAGTCGGAGCCACCTCACACCTGACTCCAGTGGATTTAAAAAAAAAGCACATGATAGAATATTGCTGAATATTTCAACCTTTAAAGGTTAAAAGGTTAAAGTTTAATCTTCCAGTGTGTTTTTGGACATCGTAAACCACAGGATGAGATTGCCCATCTTTTCCCATGTAGAGCAGCTTGTCAATTCAAACTATGTGCCTTTGGATTGGCAACCAGAGCGGCTCCTTGAGATCTAGTGAGATTGTTGTTGTTGTTATGTGCCGTCAAGTCGCTTGTGACTCATAGCGACCCTATGTACAACAGCCCTAAACTCCGCTCTGTCCTGTGCCAATCGCACTGTCTCTGACACTCCCATCCCGATTATCCCAGTCACTGAATCAATCCACCTCATAGAGGGCCTTCCCCTCCTGCGCTGTCCCTCCACCCTCCCAAGGATGATGTCCTTCTCCAAGGACCGGTCTCTCCTCACAACATGTCCAAAGTATGTTAGACGGAGTCTCAGAATCCTTGCCTCCAAGGAGCCACCCGGTTTAACCCTTTCCAGGACAAATCTGTTTTCCTAGCAGTCCATGGTATTCTCAATACTCTTCTCCAGCACCACAGCTCAAAGGCATCAATTCTCCTATCCTCCTTGGTCATTGTCCAACTCTCTGATGCATAACAAGTGATTGTGAAGACCATGGCCTGTATCAGATGCACCTTAGTCTCCAGAGAGACACCATTGCTCTTCAGTACTTTGGAGAGGTCCCTAACAGCAGACTTTCCCATGGCAATGCGCCTTTTAATTTCCTGGCTGCTGGTGCCGAGGGTGTTGACTGTGGAGCCAAGCAAACTAAAGCTGTGAACAATCTCAATCTCTTCACCATCCATCCTGATGCTGCCAACTGGTCCAGTGGTGAGAATCTTTGTCTTCTTGACATTGAGTCTCAATCCATATTGTAGGCTGCTTCAGGTCCTCTTCAGTTTCAGCAAGCAGGGTTGTGTCATCTGCATAACGTAGATTGTTGATAAATCGTCCACCAATCTTGACCCCACATTTCTCCTCATAGAGCCCAGCCTCCCGGATAATCTGTTCTGCATATAGGTTGAAAAGGTATGGAGACAGGACACATCCCTGGCGTACGCCCTTCCCAATTTTGAACCATGCAGTGTTCCCTTGCTCTGTTCTGACGACTGCCTCTTGGTCCAAGTATAGGTTTCGCATTAGAATGATCAAGTGTTCTGGGATTCCCATTCTTCTCAGAGTCAGCCACAGTTTGTTATGATCCACACAGTCAAATGCTTTTGCACAGTCAATGAAACAGACATTCCTCTGGTATTCTCTGCTTTCAGCTAAGATCCATCTAACATTAGCTACAATATCCCTAGTACCACGACCCCTTCCTTCTAAGCCCCCTGTATCTAGTGAGATACAGTGAATTAAAGACAGGAGGGAGAGAGACTTCA